GTGGTAGTAATGGTGAGTCAGCTTGGCCAAGATGTTGGCCAAGACCTCGGTTGGATGGTTGTTATGCTGAGGTCGTTGATGGAGTGAACCCAAGCTGAGACCTTTATGAAGCGAAGTTCAGGTCGAGACCTCTGCTGGACGGTGTTTATGTCATGGTCTAGGCTAGGTCAGGCTATGCCGAGGCCTCAGATGGACGAAGTCTACGTTGGGGTCTTAAGCTATTGGAGTTTACGCGAGATCTCGGTTGAATGGACTTTGTGCCGAAGTCTAGGCGAATAAAACCCAAGCCGAGACCTCTACTGGACAGAGCTTAGACCGAGGTCTAGACTAGGTGAGGCTATGCCGAGGCCTTAGATGAACAAGACCTACGTCGGGGTTTCAAGCGGTTGGAGTTTACGCCGAGGCCGCAGCGGGTGTGGCCTGCCACGTTGGCCCTAGCGGTTACGGGCCCAACGGTTACTAAATCTGGACCGTTGGATGGCCCAGATCGAACGGCTGGGGTGTCGGGACGTCTTTTCACCTCCCCCCTTCACCTTGCCTATAAATAGGGGGGTTGCTGATGAATTTACTTGCTATAAATTTGTCGAGCGCTCTCGACTCCAGAACTAACCGAGAAAACCGATAAAAGGTAAATTTTGTATTCTTTATTCTTGGTAATAAATGGATAAGGGTTATTCCTTGGCTAGGATGTGTACATCCTCGGAGGCGTTGAGCGCTTCGTCGGATCGAGAGGGGTCGGATTCAAGTGAAGTATCAAGGTTGCCTCCGCTGCAATGCGAAGTGGTCTTTCCTTCTGATTTTGCCGAGCAGGAGGATAGTGGGGACGAAGTGATCGAAGTATCACCCCCAATGACTTTGGCTGTGGCCTTGGCACGAGCCACCGAGGTGGATGCTAGGGGTATCAGACGGGTCGGCAATCAAAGCGTTCGTGCCGAGGTGGATCACGCCGAGGCGACTGAAGACGCTTTGGCAGTGGTTGACGATGGTCGGGGTAAAGCCGTGGCCGTTCCAAGGGCTCAGCCGAAGGCGAAGATTGATTACGGCACGGTGGAGATGCCCGGGTATGAATGGGTGGACGGGGAGGTCGGTATATACTTTACAAAGTTATCCGACCAAGAATTGTTAGATACATTCGTGTCTATAGAGAAATGTTTCGGGAGAGGGGAGGACGAGTTCTCGTTGCTTGCCGAGGCGTGTGAGGACGATGGGCCAAACACTGATTTTGTGTTCTTGGAGCCGGGGTCCGATGAGGACGATTATTTCTACGCCTACATGTGTTGGTTTGAGGATCTCGGCGTGACATTGCCCTTCGATGATTTTCATATGGGAGTCCTCCGTGCTTTAAATGTGGCACCGACCCAGTTACACCCTAATGCCTGGGCGGCCATGCAGGCATTCTGGAATCTATGCCTCTGCCTCGGCCTAACACCTCGACCCCTTGCTTTCCTCTATTATTACATTTGTCGTCCGAGCAAGCCGGTGAAATGGGTGTCGTTAGCCCGAGTGCCGAAACGTGGATTTCTCCGAGCATTCACCTCCTCTTATAAGGGATTTAAGAATGGGTTCTTTAAGGTTCGTTGGGGTTCGGATTTGAGACATTGCTTCTATGATCGAGAGGACAACCCACTATTCCCTTTCTATTGGACGAGGCGGCCGACGTGCTTCGAGGCGATGCCTTTTTCCAAGCTCCCTGCCGAGGATAAAGAAATTGTGGAGCTTCTTGACAAGCTGCCGAAGGGTTTGCCTGTCCGAGACCTCTTGGACGTATTTGAAACGTCTCACTTTGAGATGGCTTTGCTAGGTATGTGTGTTAGGCTTCGGTAGTGTAGCAGTGTTTTGAATTGATGTTAAGACTTCTTGTGTTGCAGGATTGATGGCCGGAGGGGATCTCGACGTGACCGCCATGCTCACAAAGCGAGCCAAAGATGCCAAGGCCAGTGGGAAGGTGCCACCGGCGAGGTCGGCATTGAAGATTCCGAGGGATAAGCCCTCGCCGTAATAATTCCCATGGCCGACCAGAGAAAAAGGACAGGGACCTCTCGGACACGTCAGGCCGATCAGAACGTGGAATCCGAGCAATCGGGCCCCTCCTCCAAACGTCAAAAACAAATCACGCTGGAACAGTCTGGATGTGGGGCGTTTGCTATCCCGACTGTTGTTGCTGGGTCAAATTTTTTGGCCCCGGCCGTTCAGTCCGAGAACTTGGTTAGCCTGGACTTCACTACTGGATGGGGGCTCTAATACTTGGAGGGTATGTCTACGGAGGCCGAGTACAAGCTCTTCTGCGAGCTCGATGTGCGGACTTCGTTGGTGGCCAAGCACGTAATGATGAGGTCGGCCGTCTCGGCTGAGCGACTTCAAGCCCGGTTAAAGGAGGCCGAGGCCACAGTGAAGGATGCCTTGACTGCCAATGCTAAGGCTACAAAGTCGGCCGATGAACTGAAGAAAGCGGCCGACGGCTATAGGAGGGAGGCCGATGACTTGATGTTGTCGGTGCAAAAGATGAAAGTTGAGGCCACGGCTGCTGCGGCTGAGATTGCTCGGCTGACCGAGGAACATGCCAAATTGAAAGCCGAGGCCACCGAGAAGATCCTCGACCAACATGATGCGGGATTCCAGCAAGCAATCCGACAAGCCCAGTACTTCTGCGAGATCCAGACTGACTTTAACTTTGATGTCAGTTAGGATTTTTATGGGGGTAAGTACATCAGTTATGCCGAGTTCCCTAAAGGGGCTAGCCCTGATGACGAGGCTCCCCGCCGAGGCATCTCCACGCAAGCGCCGGTACCACCGCCTACCGAGGAGGATGACCCAATTATAAATGTGGTCGGTGATGGGAATCCGGACGGCTCGACCGCTAAGTAGGGGTCGGTTCTGGCGGAAGTAGAGTAGGTTTGTCTTGCTTTTGTAACCGGGCCGTTAGTGCCCTTTTGTAGTTTGGCCGTTGGCGCTGGTGGATAGTTGACTTTTTTGTAAGTAGCTGTTGTGGTCGGCCATACTTGTTTCTAATAGACTTTGCTTTCCAATTTTCCGCGTTTATAAACGTTTAATGAACATAAACCGACTTGTATGTGTAGCCGAGAGGTCCAATTTCGCGATTTATGCTGGTGATCGATGCGTGATGTGTTTGTTTATACGAGAGTGTTCGGTTTCCGTGAGTGTTAGGTTAGCGTATCCTCGGCTTAAGTTTATTTGGTCTACTTATCGGAGATTGCCTGGTATCGTTGCGCTAGTGTGTAGTATTCGGTCTATGTATATCTTTAGCCGACGAGGGTACGTTAGAGTGAAAGCTTTCTTGCATGTGTATGCGTTTTCAAGTGGTCGGCCAAGAATTGTTCGGTTTTGACGCGCATTGCGCGTAGTGTTCGGCCTATGTACATCCTTAGCCGAGGAAGGAAACCTTGTATAGCGCGAGTGCACTTTCTAATGGTCGGCCAAGGACTTCTAGGTGACGACGCGTTCGCGTGTAGTACTCGGCCTAGGTACATCCTTAGCCGAGGAGGGTACTCGAGAGGGAAACCTATAGTGCGCGAGTACGTTTTCTAGTCGTCGGCCGAGGATTACTCGATGACGGCCCGTTCGTGCGTAGTGCTCGGCCTAGGTACATCCTTAGCCGAGGAGGGTACTCGGGAGGGAAACCTATAGGGCGCAAGTACGTTTTCTAGTGGTCGGCCGAAGATTACTCGGTGACGGCTCGTTCGTGCGTAGTGCTCGGCCTAGGTACATCCTTAGCCGAGGAGGGGACTCGGGAGGGAAACCTATAGGGCGCAAGTGCGTTTTCTAGTGGTCGGCCGAAGACTACTCGGTGACGGCTCGGTCGTGCGTAGTGCTCGGCCTAGGTACAACCTTAGCCGAGGAGGGGACTCGGGAGGGAAACCTATAGGGCGCAAGTGCGTTTTCTAGTGGTCGGCCGAAGACTACTCGGTGACGGCTCGGTCGTGCGTAGTGCTCGGCCTAGGTACAACCTTAGCCGAGGAGGGGACTCGGGAGGGAAACCTATAGGGCGCAAGTGCGTTTTCTAGTGGTCGGCCGAAGACTACTCGGTGACGGCTCGGTCGTGCGTAGTGCTCGGCCTAGGTACAACCTTAGCCGAGGAGGGGACTCGGGAGGGAAACCTATAGGGCGCAAGTGCGTTTTCTAGTGGTCGACCGAGGATTACTCGGTGACGGCCCGTTCGTGCGTAGTGCTTGGCCTAGGATTGCTCGACGTTATTGTATTCGTATGCAGTGCTCGGCCTAGGTACATCCTTAGCCGATGAGGGTACTCGGGAGGGAAACCTGTGGGACGCGAGTGCACTTCCGAGTGGTCGGCCAAGGATTACTCGACGTCGGCGTGTGTGATCCGAGGTTAGTGCTACATTTGGATTACCTAAACGTGTACTTTAGTCAAATAATAAATGAGACGATCAATATTCAAAAATGTCTTGTATTAATGAAGTGCCTCGTTAAAAACCTTGCCGACCCAAAACTCTCCTTAGGGAAAAAAGAGTCGGTCCAGGAAAAGAGTGCACTGTTACATCAACTGTAATACACTTTTAAATGTGAGGAGTTCCAAGTTCTCAGAATTGGTTCTCCAGATAGGTACTCTAGCTTGTATGCCCCGTTGTTTAGGTTGTGTCGTATTCAGAAGGGTCCGTCTCAATTTGGGGCGAGCTTTCCTTGTCTCGGATCTTTTCTCGCCTCGCCTGTGGCTCTCCAAACAAAATCTCCTTGTCGAAATTCTCTAGGCTTCACCTTGCTGTCGAACCTTCGCTTGTAGCGTTGCTTGGTAGCTTCGGCCACTATTAGTGCTCGGTCTCGAATTTCTTCGACCACGTCTAGGTTTGTTCGGAGCTCGGCCTCATTACTTGCTTCATTGAAGTGGGCTCGGCGGAATGATGGTTCTCCGATTTCGATCGGGATCATCGCGTCGGATCCATATACTAGGCGGAAAAGGGTTTCCTGTATGGTTGACTGAGGTGTGCACCTATAAGCCCATAGCACCTCGGGCAATTGCTCGGCCTAGGCTCCTTTTGCTTCTCCTAGTCGTTTCTTCAACTCCTTCAAAATAACCTTGTTGGCGGACACGGCTTGTCCGTTTGTTTGTGGGTGCTCGACCGAAGTGGTCTTATGTTGTATTCCTAGGCCGGTCAGGAACTCATTGAGTTTTCGGTCGGTGAATTGAAGGCCTTTGTCGGTTACCAGGGTGTGTGGGACGCCAAACCGTGTTATGATATTCCTCCATAAAAATTTTTGGACTTGATGAGCCGAGATGCACGCCAAGGGCTCGGCTTCAATCCATTTGGTAAACAGATCTACGACGACGATGAGGAATTTGCATTGTCCCTTAGCGACTGGAAAAGGCCCGAGTATGTCAGCCCCCCAAGTAGTGAACGACCATGCTGAGGGTATGCCGTGTAGCTGCTCGGCCGGTTGGTGGATCAAGTCGCCGTATTTCTGGCATGGTTGGCATTTCTTTATGAACATCACGCAGTCGGTATTCATGGTCGGCCAATAGTATCCTGCTCGTAAGAGTTTGGAAACGGTCGTCCTCGCGCCCAAGTGCATCCCACAAATGCCCTCGTGTACTTCTCTCATCATGTAATCGGCCTTGACGGGGTCTAGGCATTTTAGTAGCGGGGTGGAGAAGCCACGTTTATACAACTGATCGGCAATGACGACATATCTACTGGCTTGCGTCCTCAATCGCTTGGCATCGGTTGGATCGACTGGTATGACACCGTTGGTGATGAATGCCCTAATTTCGTCTCGCCAGTCGGGCGGGTTGTTCTGTCCGGGGTGGTCGGCATCCATGCTTGCTACCATGTCCGCTTCAACACTAGGGTGGTCGATTTCTTGTTGAATGATGGTTCTCAGTTGACCTGGCTTCTTGGTTGCGGCCAATCTAGCCAATTGATCGGCCCGGGTGTTGTCCTCGCGCGGGATGTGCTCGACCAACACCTCTTGAAAGTTTGACTTCAACTTTTGATAAGCATGGTAATACTTCATCATGTTGTGGTCTTTTACTTGGAAGTTATCACTGACCTGCTCGGCCACCACCTTAGAATCAGTCAAGCATTTGATTTTAGAAGCACCCATGTCTTCGGCCAACCTTAGTCTGGCTAATAGGACTTCGTATTCGGCTTGGTTATTCGAGGCCTTGAATCGGAAGCGGAGGGATTGTTCTAGAACTATCCCTTTGGGTCCCTCCAGAATTACCCCTGCTCCGCTTTCCTGGCAGTTTGAGGAACCGTCCACATGGAGGGTCCACCATTGTTCTTCGAACTGGCCATGCGGATGGAGCTCATTCATGAAGTCGGCCAGGCATTGAGCCTTAATCGGCCCTCTCGGTTTGAAGGTGATATCAAATTGTGAAAGTTCCACTGACCAAGCCACCATCCTTCCCGCTAGTTCAGGCTTGCCTAAGACCTTCGAGATCGGGCAGTCGGTGTGCACCACTACTCTGTGGCTCTAGAAGTAATGCCTTAGGCGTCGGAAAGCGTGCACTAAGCCAAGCGCCACCTTTTCTATCAACTGGTATCGGGTTTCGGGATCTTGTAGGAGTCGGCTGACGAAATATATGGGGGCTTGGGTGCCCTCTTTTTCCTGCACCAAAACCGAGCTAATCGCCTTCTCGGAAACAGCCAAATACACAAGTAGTGGGCTTAGAGGATCAGGTCTCGTGAGGGTTGGCGGCGTCGCCAGGGTTGTCTTCAATGTTGCAAAGGCCTCTTCACATGGCTCGTCCCACGAGAAGGCCGAAGCCTTCCTTAGAAGCTTCGTCATTGGGCTTATTTTGTCGGCCAGACGGGGGAGGAATCGGGACAAGGCGACCAATCTTCCTGACAGTCGTTGTAACTCCTTCAGGTTGTTCGAGCTTCTCATATCTAACACTGCCTGGCATTTGTCTCGGTTTGCTTCTATCCCTCTGGCCGATAGCATAAATCCCAGAAACTTGCCTCCTTTAACCCCGAAGGTGCATTTCTCGGGGTTAAGCCTCATGTTGTGCTTGCGTAGTTCACCAAAGATTTCGGCTAGGTCGGCCACGTGATCGGCCAGGGAATTGGACTTGACCACCATGTCGTCCACATAAATCTCGATGTTTCGCCCGATTTGGCCCTGGAACACCTTATCCATTAACCTCTGGTAGGTCGCCCCGACGTTCTTCAGTCCGAATGGTATGACTCTATAACAAAAATAGGCGTTTTCGGTGATAAATGTCGTCTTCTCTTCGTCGGCCGGATGCATCTTTATTTGGTTGTAGCCAGAATAAGCGTCGAGGAAGCTGAATACCGAGTGGCCGGCTGCCCCATCGACGAGTCGGTCAATGCAGGGGAGAGGGTAAGCGTCTTTTGGACAAGCTTTGTTGAGGTCGGTGTAGTCAGTGCACATTCTCCACTTCCCATTCGCCTTTTTAACCAACACCACATTGGCCAGCCAGGTGGTGTAAGTGACTTCTCTGATAAATTGTGCTTGCAACAATTTCTGTACTTTGGCGTTAGCGGTTTTCCTCTTCTCGTCTCCCATTTTCCTCTTCTTTTGAGCAACTGGTCGGGCATCCCGGCACACGGCCAATCGGTGGCATAGGAATTTGGGGTCAATCCCCGGCATGTCTGACGTCGTCCATGCGAATAGGTCTTTGTTTTCTCGAACTGCTCATTTCACTCGGTCCGAAGCTGCCTTGCTTAGTTGGGACCCTAGGTGCGTTACCTGTTCGGGTGCTCGGCCAAGCTGAAAAGGGATGAGGTCTTCGGCAGGCTCAATTCGTTCCTCTTCGCCTAACCGTGGATAGAGGTCAATGCCTTCCGTCATCTCCTGTCTGACCACATTCACACCTTTCGTTGTTGTTGGGGGGTCGGCAATAGGTTGTACCTTCAAGCTAGAGAGGTAACATTCCCTTGCTATTTTTTGATCGTCATGAACGGTTATTACTTGTCCATCTCTCGACGAAAGCTTCATGAACAGATGAGGGGTCGAGAAAATGGCTCTTAGTGTATTGATGGATGGTCGGCCTAACAGGATATTGTAGGACGTGTTCGCATGTACCACGATGTAACGGATTTTTAGCTCTCGAGATAACTTTTGGTCGAAGCCGAAACGAGTGTATAGGTCGATGCACCCTCTTGTCATCACCCTTTCGCCTGAAAATCCCACTAGCGGCTCGTGGTAGGGTTCTAGGCTTTCTTCCGGGATCCCCAACTGTACAAAAGTGTTCCAATACAATATGTCGGTCGAGCTTCCTTGATCGACCAAGGTTTTCTTCACAATGCAGTTGTGCATTTCGACTGAAATCACCATGGGGTCGTCTTGGACGGGGTCGACGCCACGTAAATCTCGGTCAGAAAAGGTTATTGCTGGCATCCTCGGCATGCTTGGTTGATTCACACTGTTCACGGATCTTACGGCACGGAGGTGCCTCTTTCGGGCCGAGGAGGTGGATCCTCCTCCCGCGAAGCCTCCAGCTATAGTGTTTATCACTTTCCTTGGTTGGTCAGTGTCTTCCCCCGAATGTCGCGAGTGTTCTCTCCTTTCTGCTGATCGGGATCAGTGGCGTCGGTCTCTCGGCTGTGGTGCCTCTCGAGAGTGGTGGGCTCTCCCCCTTGACTGGTGGTTTTGAGGGGTGACGAAATTCGTAAGGTGACCCTGTTTGATCAGGTCCTCCAGCTTGTCCTTTAGTGCTGAGCATTCTTCCGTCGAGTGCCCTCTATTTCGGTGGAAACGGCACGTCTTGGCCTTGTCGGCTCTAAGGGGTGTGTTCGCCCGTTTCGGCATTACAAGGATCTCTGACGCAAGGGCTTGCTCCATTACCTTAGCCCTACTCGCATTGAGGGGAGTGTATGCTGTGTAGCGTGGTCCTCTTGGGGGGCGAGCATTTGAGGTCTCGGCATTTGCCTTTTTCGTCGGTTCTCGGCCGGATTCTTTTCGGCTATAGCTCTCCTCGGCCCTAGCTTGATTTCTGGTTTTTGCCAGCTCTTCCATTTGCATATATTTTTCAGCTCGGCGTCGAAGATCATTCATATCAACGGGTGGCTTCTTGCACAAACTGTTCACAAATGGACCCGGCCTAAGGGCAGTGCTTAGCCGATCCAACGCCACAGCAGGGTTGAGGTCGCCGATCTCCATGGCAATCTTGTTGAATCGGTCCATAAAATTTCTCAGGCTTTCCTTCTTTTCTTGACGAACCCCCGCTAAGGCTAACGAGGTCGTCTTGTATGGCTTGCTCGTCGCAAATTGGAGAGTGAACTGAGATGACAACTCGTTGAACGAGTCAATAGAAGAGCTCGGCAATTTTGTGAACCAACTCAGGGCCCTTCCTTTCAGCGACGTGGGAAAAATTCGGCATAAAGCTGAGTCGTCTTGAGTGGAGAGGGTCGCCTGTGTCAGGAAGACATTCAGGTGTTCGTCAGGGTCGGTAGATCCATCGTGTTTCTCGATTGGAAGAGACTTCCAGTGATCCAACAGTGTTGCTTCCATTATCCTCCGTGAGAAAGGGTGTCTTAGGGAGTGAACGCTGGTGTCGGCCTTGTTGCCTATCAGAGAAGTGACAGGTGTTCGGGCGACCTGGTCGGTTGGTGCATGATAGGCTGACTCTCTTGCGAGTGTAGGAGTGGACGGCACATAAGTTTGGTTCAGGCTCCGTAGCTCGGCATTTTGCCGACGCAGCTCGGCCAGTTCTCGAGCATCGGCTTCTCTTTGCCTTCGGATGGTTGCCATTTCGTCGCGCAATGCGCGCAAATCATCTTGGAGGTCGGGATGTGCTCGGTTAGTGTTCGGTTGGACCTCTTGTATCACGGGTTTCGGTTGCGTCTGAGGCATTCCGTACGGATAACGTTCTTGGTTGGTCATGACAGGATTGCTCTCAAGATTAGGGATCGGTTGGGTCGTCGTTGATTGTCCTTTGCGAGTAACTACCATGCCTCGGTCTCAGTCGTAGAGTTCTAAGGGGCTGAAAATGTCTCTTCGGCCCCACGGTGGGCGCCAAATGTTCCTGTGTGAGGATACACACTCCAATTATCCTAGCTGTGTCGGGTCGGGTCTCGGTCTTCTCCTTCCTGTCCGTGTAGTCCGAAGCGAGATGGGGGGTTCCTGCAAAGACACTCCGACGCTCAAGTCAGTGCTCGGCGTAATAAATGCGGTAGAAAAGTTAGTTACGTACCTCAAAAGGGGGTCTATTTATAGTGTTTGTTGTTGGGCCGTGATTAGGGATTGGGCCCCGGAAAATTAGGGGACTAACTCGGCGCATTACGTAAATTAATCCTTTCGTAATCATACTGGTGAACTTCCGCGGGTCGGCCGAGCACATCGAACCGTTCCGTTTCGTGAGTGGTCAGTGTGATCGGGTACTTGGCCGATTCGATTATGAAGTAGGGTGTTCGGTCGTGTCGGCCCCATACGGTATAAATTATTTTGCACAAAAAATATTGTAAATTGTTATTACAATTATGCTATCATTATTTTTTTATTAGTATGGAGAAAGGTACTTCGTACCTAATGAAAAAAGAAAAGTAAATATTTTTTTAATAAAAAAAAAATAACATAAGTAGTACTAATTATTTTTAGAGAGAATACTTATTTATTCTTATATGTAATTTTTTTCTTATTTTTATCATTAATTCTATTTTGGTGGAAAAAAATTAGAATAAATACAGGAGATATTATTATTATTATCACTTATATATTAAAAATATTATTATAATTTTATCTATACTTATATATTATAGATAAAGGAGATATGAGATTGTGTTTTTAGTGCCCACTTTTTTTTTTTTTAGATCATTTCACTCTTATAATTACTTCATAATATTAAAACTCTAATCACAAATCACATACTATCATTTAACTTCTATTATTTTTTATGGATACTTTCTATTTATTTTTTCTTTTCTTCATTTTAAATATACACCTTTTATTTTCTAAATAAACATATAGGAGTATCAACTCTTTTTCTCACTAATATAACATACTTCTAATTTAAATATTTTCATTTATACAAAGAAACTATATTATAATATTTTTTTATCAATAACAATATTATAAGTCATTGTTATGTTAGTATTTTAAAATGAAAATGTAAAAAATTAAAACATCAAGTTTATATACTAAAATAAATATATTTATTATGTTATTTAGAATTATATATAAAATATTGATATTATATATCAAACAAGTTGTTAAATTTTTAATTTTTATTTCAGTTACCGACTGATATTTTTATATATATATATATATATATATATATATATATATATAATAACACTTGTTAGCGATTTAGCGACTAACATGTTTTAATAAAAATCCGTCAATAATTAATCGGCCGCTAAATCTGTCGTTACAACAATTAAGTAATCAATTGTTAAATTAGTTACTAATTACGACAAAATTTGATCACTAATTAATAGTTTTTTCTTTGTAGTGGGGTCTAGAAAAAAATATTTAATTTATTATGAATTAAAAAATTTAGCTCTAAATCCAACATAATTCGAACTCTGTTAAATCTTAATTAATAAAAAGTGTAATTTATTTTTGATATTATATTTGTGGTATTATATATCGAATATTATTATTAGGCATGGCAACGGGGCGGGGTGGGGGCGGGTTTTACGTTCCCCGCCTCCGCCCTCGCAAATTTAAACCACCCCCGCCCCTGATACCCGTCGAGGGTAAAATATAGGTCTCCATCCTTGTCTCCAGCGGGGTTCGGGTTTCCCTGCCCCACCCCTGTTCCTATTTTTTTTTCTTTTTTTCTTTTAAATAAATATGAACAATTTTAAAAAAATAAAATAAAAGTAAAATAATATAAATTTTTACATATAAATATTTCTAATTTTAGTTTATATATATATATAAATAATTTTTTAATTATATTATTAAGGGCGGGGGTGGGGGCTAGGCGAGTATTAACATCCCCGTTCTTGCCTCCAGTTTTATCAATCAAGAAAAACTCAAACTTAAACCCGATAAACACGGATTTTTTCTGTCTAAATTGGGGCGAGTTAATTTTTTAATTATATTATTAAACGGGGCGGGAGTGGAGGCGGGTATGGGGCCGAAGGCGGGGGGGTATTAACATCCCCGTCCCCGCCTCCGCCCCCGATTTTATCAATCGGGGAAAATTCGAACCCGATAAACACGGGTTTTCCCTGTCCAAATCGGGGCGAGTTCGGGCGGTTACTCACGGGGGGCAGGTTAGATTGTCATGCCTAATTATTATTATTATAATTGTTTAAAGAATATTTTTGAATTCTTATATAAAAAAAGAGAGAATACTTTCGAATTAAGTTAATTTAGATTATTTGTGTGTTAAAAATAAAACTTTTGAATTGTTCCTTAAAATTGATTTCTTTAATGAAAAACTTATAATATTAATATTGTTACGTTACGTGAAAAACATATTTTTCTGTAAATTAAAATGAATTATTTTTTAATAAGTTATATAACTTACCCTTCTTAATTCTACTTTTTTATTTCTTATTATATTAATCTAAGGTATAGTATTTAATATTATAACTACTTTTATAATTTTTATATACATGCATATCTTTTTAATGAAATGGAAAATAATCAATTAATTGGTTCAAAAATGAACAGAAAAATATTACTCAATCATTTCATATAAACTTTTTAATAAATCATTAATTTGTTAATTTTATTATTTATTCTCATTCTATACACTAGTGAAAACAAAAGTACTTTGTGTGTTAATATTATTTTTTATAGTATTTTCTAATATTAAAAGATTTTCATGACCTTTATCAATTATTGTTGTGAAGTTTTCTATTTTCATTTTTAGGGTTAAATTTGTAAAAATTATTGTCTACTTCAAAATAGAGAATCACCTTTATATATAGGTATTGATAAAAGTTTTGGTATAATTGAAAATTAAAATAGAAAAGTTTATTTTTATTTTAAAATTGGGATTGACTAATTTAATAATATTTAGAATTCAATTAACTGGTAATACCAATTTTAATTCAGGAGCAAAAAAATTAATTGTTAGTTTCTACAGTGAATTTATAAATTTAAAATCAGGGACTATATTAACTTATAAATTATTTGTTGGGATTGACCTAGTGGTGATATGCATGTATGAAATAATAGGTTCTGACTATTTTAAAACAAAAAACTTATAATTATAATTTTAGTTTCTAATAATTATTAATGCAAACCATAAACGCTTTCTGAAAAGAATACCTTCTGACTTTCCTCATCGTCAACTAGTTTCGGAGTGACAATCTAGCTACTTCAAAATTTAAATAATTTCCACATTGTTCATCTATATATATACAGTTGAAAAAATGAACACTACTAGAGAGCCTACAGATAAAGAAGAATAAAAAATAAAAAGCTGGTGCGAATCAAATCAAAAAACAATACATGTATTTGTAACATGTCATCCACTCCATTCAACATGCAACAAAGAGGTTAGTGCCTTGCACGTAAACCGCGTCACACTCTACCAAACTTCAACTCATATGTATACTATACACACACTATATATATATATATACATATATGGGAGGTTCAGACGAAATCGGTATAATTTTTACTAAGTGTTATACCGTTTAATAATTTTATATTAAATGTGAATTTTGAAAATTCAACTGATTGAAAGTTCATATCTCTTAGATCATATATGTCAAATTTTATTAAAATTGAACAACAACTTGAAGGTAATCAAAATGTTCATATTTTAGTATATTTTAAAATGTATCTATTACGTCAATTTTGTTTTATGAAAATGAAGTATCAAATCATCTTAGATTAATATAAAATTTGATATATATGATCTAAGAGATATGAACTTTTAATCTAACGGTTGAATTTTCAAAATTCACATTTATTCTACTTAGACTTTAGGAATAAGTCTACTTAGACTTATTCTATTTAATAACTCTTATTCTAAATCAAATTTTGATGATCCAATCGTTGAATTTAAAGTTTTTAATACACATAGATCAATCTGAAAATTTCTAAAAAATTTAAAAATCATTTAATAGTTCATTTATTAATTCAAATCAATATATAAAATGATTTTATGACTATACGTTAATTTAAATTAATAAAATGAAGTATCATATATATATATATATATATATATAAGTATC